CATCCATAGACATTGTTTTCTCTGACTTTTATCTTCTTATTTTTTCAGATCTACTCTCCGGACCACACGAACAACAGCTTCTCGTCCAATCCCTCCACCCCAGTCGGCTCCCCACCCTCCCTCACAGGTAGCACATGACACTCACCTTTTAATCACAACATCGCATCGCAGATGGAAAAAGCAGAGACTTGACTTTACCTTTTTTCAAATCACTTGAGATGTGAACTTGTTTCAAATTAGATGAGACTCGAACTCGATTCAAATGACTCAAGACTTGACTTGAACTTGTTTCAAATGACTTGAGACTTGACTTGAAATTGTTTCAAATGACTTGAGACTTGACTTGAACTTGTTTCAAATGACTTGAGACATAAACTTGTTTTGAATGACTTGAGACTTGACCAGTTTCAAATGACATGAGACTTGACTTGAATTTGTTTCAAATGACTTAAGACTTGAACTTGTTTCAAATGACTTGAGACTCGATCCAGTTTCAAATGACTTGAGACTTGACCAGTTTCAAATGACATGAGACTTGACTTGAACGTGTCTCAAATGACTTAAGACTTGAACTTGTTTCAAATGATTTAAGACTTGATCCAGCTCCAAATTACTTGAGGCTTGACCTTTTTCCAAATGACTTGTTTCAAATTACTTGAGACTTGACATAAACCAGTTTCAAATGACTTGGGACTGGACTTTTTTCCAAATGACTTAAAATTTGACTTGGACTTGTTTCAAAGGATTCGAGACTTGATTTGACCTTTTTTAATGACTTACAGCTCTGGGAAGAAGAAGAGAGTGAAATAAATAGAAAAATGATTTATTATTCATACAAACTAAAAACAACACATTGAACTGAAGTGATACATTTTAGTGAATAATTTAAAGGGAATTCTGCTTTTTAAATGCAGCCTCTTGGCGTAAAACAAGACCATAAAAACACATTCATAATAGCTGTGTCTCCACTCCACACCCCTCCTTTTCCTATTTCCACCAATTACTCCTCCTCCCGGCTGATGTTGTAAACTCACCCTGCTCCTTAAAGTGAAAAATGACTTTTCCTAATAATAGTTGTGTCAAATTTGTCTCTAATTGTCGCTGCTACACACACCGTTTGATATTTCTGTGCCGCGCCTTGTGACTGATAGCTTTAATTACGAGCACCACTTCGACAAATCGTTCACAAACCTACCGGCTCTGCAAACACGAGCTCCCTCCCCTCTTTCTTCGCCTCCTCCTCGTCATTATAGCTGCCTGGGATATTGCCTGCTAAACCGTAATTGGTGTTTATCATTGTGTCAGAGTTACTCCACTTTTTACAAATTAGAAATGAAGCCTATTAGAGCAAACTACATGCAAATTGATATCCAAGGCTAATTCTGCGAGGGTGTTTTACAGTGTTGGGCTCGGAATAATTTACCCTGCCGTTTAATACATATATTTGTATTTGCACATGAATGTACCCAGGTGATTATTCATTAATTAGCATATGGAAATGAGCATGTAATATGAATAAAGGAGAGGGGAGAGAAAAGACTGTGAGACAAAACGCGAAGACAATAAAAAAAAAGAGCTAATGAGATGAGATCAGAGTTACAAGGGAAAGATCAGTGTTGAGGGCAGAGAGGAGGTACGAGGAGGAGATAGAGGAATAAAGGAAAGGAGAGGAAATAAAAGGGAGGTGAAATTAGGAGGAACAGGAGGAGAGGATCGATGGTTGAAGGGCTAAGAAGAGAAGAAAGATGTGGAGAAAGAAAACAGGAGGTATGAGGAGAAAAGATATTAAAACTGGGATAAGATGAAGGCATAAGAAGAGGAATAAGATGAATGAATAGGAAACAAGAGGAAAGAAAACAGGACATGAGAAAGGAGACAAAATAAGGAAACTTTACTCACCTGTTTGAGTGAAAGCATCGCTAACTGCTGATGTTTTTGCTTGCTATTTTTCAAAAATATTACAACTGTTCTGACTGTTACAATTTTAATATTAACCTGCTGTTCTGGAGGTGTTTTCTTGAAAAAAAAAAAAACATACCTACTAACAACTAATAAAAGTATGAAAGTAAGTTAAGAAAAACTTACACTGTAGCCTCATATTGTGACCTATAAAATGTCAATAGGTTTGTGCTTAAATCAGCTAGTCCTTTAAGTGCTGTATAGAAAATGACTAATGGGCTGGCACTTTTTTGTCCAACTGAACCACTGTATGAACTGAAACTTTAAAGGTCCAGTGTGTAACATTGAGGAGGATCTATTGTTAGAAANNTTCATTAGTGTATAATCACTTTAATATACAAATCATTGTGTTTTTGTTACCTTAGAATGAGCTGTTTCTATCCTCACACGACACAGTCCATGGAGTCCGCCATGTTGAACCAGCATATTTCTACATTAGCCCAGAACAGACAAACTAAACACTAACTGTAGATTTTACGCGGCTTCTGTAGCATCTTCTACACACTTCACAGTCCATTCTCATTCCCACGTTGTCAAATACAGACGCAAACGGTGTTCAATTAGTTGCAATCTGCAGTTTCACCACTAGGTGCCACTAAATCAACCATTGGTTGACACTGGTCCTTTGACAAGATGTTGCTATCATTATGTGTCGAAAAAATTACCTCTCACCTCTGAAACCCAAACGCCGCTGAGAGGCCCCCATACGCTGGCCTGTTATCGCTCAGAGCCTCACATTAATGTAAATTCACAGAAGTCGCTGTCTCTCCTCCGTCTACCAGCTAATGAGACCTGTCGATTCAGATACGACCCTTCAGAGCAACGACAAGCACAAAAGCAGAAAAGAACACAGACACAAAGCTTGTTTATTCTGCAGAGGGCCCATGCTAATCAACCACTTGTACCTTTTCAAATAACAAAAGACTGATATTAGCATTTCTGCTATGAGATATGAGTTGGTTTGTTTTTGTCTTTTCTTCCTCGCCTCCGTGTTTATTGCATCCGAGCACCACGAGTGAATACGATGAGAGACTCCTCGTGTGTAAAGACGTTTTGTCTGGTGTTTGGCCGCTGCCCTGAGTGGTTTCTTTCTTTGACGTATAAAGGGAGAGGAGGTTTTGGCTCTAATCCACACATCCATCCATTTTCTGCACATACTTATCCTGTGCAGGGTCGCAGGGGGCTGCAGCCTATCCCAGCATGCATTGAGAGAGAGGCGGGTAATACCCTGGACAGGTCAGCGCTAATCTCCCACTGAAATCCTCTTGTTCCCTGTCTCCTCTCCTGATCATGTCTCCTTGCCTCCTCTCTCCTAGCTGCCAGTTCAGCTGTGTGGTCGAGGAACGGCGGACAGGGAGCGTCGTCGCCAAACTACGAGGCTCCACTACACTCTCTGGTATACACACACACTTCTGAAATATATACTGTTTTTAAAGGGTCAAAACCATACTGTATCTTCCATTTTCCTGCTATTTACACATTGCAGATAGCAGAGGACCTCGTTTCTGGAGGGGATTGCTTTCGAGTTGTTTAAATGTAATTTTTCAATGCACAAAATATATTCCATTCACCTCCATTGTATTGGGGTGGAGGCAGAAACCTTAGCGACAGATATCTGGCAAATAAATGCACCAGGTGTTGAGCGAATTGAGCCTTGAAGTACATACTTATTGTGCCTTAGTGTGTCTGCAAAGCTCAACTAATTGTTTTACTTTTAGTTTCTCCTCAACACAAAACAGTTTTCTGCATAACAGCAGCCTCCAGTTACCAGATCACTGTCACTTTGAGTGAAAACAATGCTGGATTTACGTTTTTATTTGTGCACACCAGATTCAGCGTTCCTGACAGTGACATAAAGCTCTGTATGCCAACATTATGTTAAGGCTCTCAGTCCTTTGGTTGCTGAAGAGAATACAAAGTTTAATTTTAAAAAAGTCTCAGTAATTTCCTTCAACAGTTGGCCATTGCAGTTTTTAGTAAAGGCTTCTTGAACAGAAGGAATGTGTGCATTTGCTGGCACTATTTTCAGCTGCGGATGAATACACATCTGGTGCTCTAGTGAGTACTTCCAGCAGCAGGACTGAGTGGGATTGAGTCAAAATAAACTACAGTGTGTGTGTTAATGGTAATGAAGAAAGATGTCTGTCAGTGCAACAGTGTGGCTCACTGATGTGTTTTTAATAGTTTTTGGACAACGATGGAGCTCTATGGCACAGAGGAAGAAAGTATCAGGCTTTGATATGCACGATACTTGTACTTTTTTTATGGACAATAAGAAAAATATATTCATGTTCACATGAACTTGAGGCTACTCAGTATTGAGTGTCCTGGTTATTTAATGCAGGTAAAGACCCTGTGATATCCCTCATAATCTGTATAAGATTTTAGTAAATGTCAGAGATCTCAGAATGAATATTGAGAGTCGGAGCTGCTTCAGTTTACAGACGTAGATAATAAAGAAATCTTCAGCAGGTTCTTGATGTCTCTCTGTTGTGTCCCTTCGTTCTGCAGCAAAGTCGTATCGAGGACCGTCTGGAGCGTTTGGATGACGCCATCCACGTACTGCGGAGCCATGCGGTGGGACCGTCGACGGGTATGACCAGTGGGCACGGTGACATGCACAACCTCATTGGGGCTGCACATACGCACAACGGCGCTATGGGCGCACTGAGCAGCGGATACGGGACAGGACTGCTGTCAGCCAACAGACACTCCCTCATGGTAGGACCTGAAA